GCAGTCCATTAACATGATCGTACAATTGACAACGTGTTCGAAGTAAAATGTAAACATTTATTTGACGTAAACGTTGCTATTCATTCATTGGTCAGTTGCTCGTGGTAAGATCCTCTGTGCGCATTTATAACAATAGCCATGTAAGGCAAACAAAGGTTTGTCAGTGTTGATGATAATGCACATTTTGTACCTGCGAATCGGTTACCAGTGAGCTCAAATTTTCGCCGAAAAGTATGATATATTGTTATTTTAACACCACTTCCTTAAGCCACCCCTTTTCTGTTGAAAATCGTGAAAGTCTTTCAGAAAGGTCTATAAACATTTATTACAGGACATGTTTTCAAAAGAAACAAGCTATGGCAATATCATGTTTACTGCCAATTTTATTTATAAAACCGGTTCTACCCTATAACCTTTGAATAGATCAACCTAAACCACGTGTCTTGAATTTAAATCACAATAACATTAGTAGGGGTGTACAGGTAAAGTTTTCTAAATAGTAAGCCCTATTTAGAGGTTTGTGGGTTTTTTATTCCAAATTTGTTATTTTAAGCTTTCATGGTTCTTAACAATTCTTTCAATTAATATTTGTGAACTGTCGAACTTTTTATTACAAATTAAATTCTTTAAAATTATTTCTTTGAATGCTCTTATAATGAATTTAATCTATATATAAGAAATTTGTTAAATTTATTTTAAAGGAATTTAAAAGCTATTAATAATGAATTAAATTCGGTATAATGAAATCTAAAACTTGTTTCGAATTAAATTCTTCAAAACGAAATCAAATTCTTAATTTGTTAGAAGGAAATCGACTAAAAATCATTTAAACTAATTTGACAAATCTTGATATCGAATTCATGTATATTTTTCTAAAGACCATGATTGCTGAATTTGTTTCAACGAATTTTTTTTCGTTATAAAAAATTTTTGAATTTGTTTTCATGAATTTTAGCATTTTTTAAACGAATTTAATTACCTAAAAAAAATTTCAAATTCATTTTAATATATTTAATTCGTCAAAAAGAATTCAAAGAAATTTCTTATTTAACAAATTTTATTCGTTAGAATGTCCTGAATAGGCTTCCGTAAATAAAAGAAATCTTTAAGAACAAGCTTTTTCAGAGAGGTTGTGTCCCCCGCTAAGGGAAAACAGAAAAGTATTTGCATCATGCACATACACAAAAACACACCCTGAATTTGTAGAATTATTCAATGTATACATGTATATTGAAGACAATTAAACAGATGCTAATATGGATATAGAGATTTGATTGCTTAATCTTTAATATGTGTATAGAGGATGCTTTTTATATACATGTAGAATATTTATCAAACTTATAATGATGATTTTATGATATTGTGCAATCCAGACGTTATATCATCTTCATTTCACTTGCACCGGTCACGGTAGCCTAGTGGTAGAGCGTTCGCTTCGTGGTCAGGAGGCCCGGGTTCGATTCTCGATCGCGGCGCCGCGTCATACCTAAGACATAAACATAGGGAGTGACTGTTCCTTCGCCCAAGCGCTCGGCACTAGAAGTGAAAGTCACGGGTCTTTCGGATATGACCTTAAAAATGTAGGTCCCGTGTCACGGTAGGCGTTGGCACGATAAAGAACCCTCACTGCTCAATGGCCCTGAGTGCCGAGTATAGGTCTAAATTTGAAGCCCTTCACCGGCATCGGTGACGTCTCCATATGAGTGAAAAATTCTCAAGAGGGACGTTAAACAATATACAATCAATCAATCAATCATTTCACTTGCTAGATAATATCCTTCAGTAAATAAAAATATTTACAAATTAAAGGATCGTACGGGATTTGAACCTGTGACCTAACACATATTTTATAACTCTCCACTTGCCCCTGTGCTACAAGTATTTCCAACCATCTTCTGATACAATAAATAATAACAATAAAAAAGGGGCGGGACACTTTGAAAGGAGTGAGAGAAGCTCTAGTTAGTTATGCTATATATCTTCAATACAAAAGCTCAATGTTTCTTGAGATAGCACTATGAAAAGAAAGTGTTACACACAGACGCAGTGTATAAACTTACGACCTTGAACTTTAACCTTTTGACCTCAAAATCTATACTTTCTTCCTTAGGCCATAGATAGTTGCTATGCTAAATTCCATTGCCAAAGCTCAAAGGGTTCTCGAGATATCGCGCGGATACTGAAGTTTTACAGACAGACAGAAATAAGGACGGACGAACAGAGAGACCGAAATTAATACCCCTAACTTCCAGTGAAAGCGGGGGAAAAACATTTCTCTAGGCTAATTTATAGCTTATACCCTAACTGCCGCCTCTCTCATAAATTGTCTGGCAGTATCGTCCCAGATAGGAGGTACTGTTAAGACCCAGCCAATATCAGTTTCTCTGATCCCGGCGCCTTCTTCTTCTAGAGATTGTCGTAGCTGACCCCTCAGGAATTTAATGGCCGCTGAAAACACATCCAAAGCCAACATCTCCTTCCCGTCTATAGATTTTATTTTCACGGCTTTTGAAAGTGGTTCCTGTGAGAACAATGTACAATAAAATGTGCAATATATTAAGCATTTTGAAGACATACAGTATTATAAGTAAAAAAAAGCTCAATATTAAATCGAAGCTTCTATACACAAAATATTTATAAATTTAAAAAATATTTTTTTTAAATTCTAACCTGTAAGCTTCAACCAATAACGTTTTACAAATTTACAGCAAATAAATATAATTTGATTATCTTTCTGCCTTACTTAAACAGGGTTGTATCTCAGAATTGAAACAGAATAGAAAAGATCGGGATCAATACCAAGTAGAAGTGAGTTAAGGGTTCCTCCCCTAACAGATCTATGTGTCGATAGGAAATACAAGAATACTATAGTAGCCGGAGGGGATTACCTCAGTATAGACAGAGTAATCCCCGGTCCCTTAACAACAATCCTGACTTTAAATAATTATCTTTTTTCTTATATTAAGAGATGAACTTACCTCTTTGTTAAAGAGAGACATCTTGAACCCCTTAAAATAATACAACTCCTCATTTTCCTCATCCTCTGCCAGCTCTGAATATTTATCCTCTGCTTCATAACCGAACGAGTCAAACTCTTTGTCTTTATTGAACAGAATACAGGTGGGGGTCTTTAGGGTCTGCAGAACCCCGGAAGCCTGCTGTCCAGTTGTTGGATCTGACCTTCAAAGGGTCGTTCTCGTAGTCATGTTTAAAGGAAAATGCAATGCCGCTGTACGTCAGTACCAAAGTCAATGGCTGCCACCAAAGGCTTTCTGTCAGAGGACATGTTCTCTGTGTCCCAAGTCTGAAATAATAAATTACAGGTATTGATGAGGATTTCTTATCCAAGAACTAATATGTCCAGAGAATACATATAATAAGAAAAAAGAGAAGAAATAGACCCTAATCTAACCAAATATCAATGTCTGTTGGTACAAATAATGTGATCGATGTGTTAAAATGATATAACTTACTTTTGTCTCCAGCATTTCTTTTGTTGATAACTTTGGTTTCTTCACTTCGTAACCATTTTCCTCTGTTGTGACGGATAATGGTGTAAAAATATCCGAAAAGCTTGTAAAACCGTTCTGTGTCTATTGTCCTTGAACTAAAAGTTGGCAGTGCTATATGAGTTTTTGGAAGTAGTCTGCTTAATTCCTTAGTGCGTGAGATGTATTTCATGGTCAAAGATACATCATTGGAATCTTCAATCTGTTGAAGATTTAGAAGTGTTTGTTCAATAATAGTTTGTATCTGTTTGATTTCTTTCAATGATCCTCTAGAATACTCTTATGCTTCAATTTCCCTTTTTTATTTCAATTCTTAATTTCTCGACAATTATATCGACTTCTCTGTGCCATTCTTCTCCACATTTGATCAACGCTGTTGTAAAATATCCAATATTTTCCATCTAAGTTAGCTATCTGGGTTTCTAATTCAATTGCAATTTCTGCATACGTTGGAGAAATTGAGTTTTCTAATTCTTCAGCATCTTTTCCAATGACTTTCCTCTTTGGATAAAAGAGATCAGAAAGAGATGAAACTGAATGCCCACTTTATGTATCAGATAAAGCACACAGAGCACACATAGAGGTTGTGCACGTTTCACAGTAAAACTCTCTGTCTCTTGATTGATGTGCTAAGCACTTAGGGTAGATTAAAGTTGACTTTTTGTGTTGGAATGGGACCACTTCATGTTTGTCATATTCATCAGCAATATATTCCTAATTACATTGTTTACAAAGGTTGATATGACAGATATCACAGTACATCTGTACTATAGCTGTCTTACAAAGGTCACATCGGATGACGTCTTGTGCACTCCTGATGGGATCCATATTAAATCTGAAAAAAAATAGAAGTACAAATGTTCTTTATTATTGGTTTATCTTCATGATTTTTGTAATGTCTGTGAAAACGAAAGTAAGAATTATAAAAAAAAATGCTGAAAATATTTCATTAACCTCAACAATCACTTTATAATGATTCATTAAATCATTAACACAAAATTGTAGTACACTTTTGATGGAGATATATAGGCTGTCCTCAAAAGCTTTTATTTCATTGTGATTTGGATGTGAATCCCCTTTTTCCGCTATAAACTTTTAAATAAAAAATTGAAACATAGTAATATAAGTAATATAGATTATACATCTAGAAAAGAAAATGAGAATGTAAAGCAATACCTCCCAATAGAGTATTTTTCCGTCTAGCATGAACGCTTTCTTCTTATCACAAAGCAATCTTCGGGTATAGCTTTTTACAAGAGAGTTATTATCCTTCATGTGTTGTATGATTATTATTGTGTAAAACTCGCCAAATTTTGATTTTATAGAATGAGGCGTAAATGTTTGGCATCAAAAAATCACTCAGTGCTGTGTTTATGTAACTTGAAGTTCTTCTTCTTCTTCTTTTCGTTCGCCTAATCACACTTGAGTCCCAGTCTCCTCTACAAATCTGGTGGTCTTCTGTAGGGCATCCAATGGTCCATAAAGCTTCTCTTATAACGTTGTTGGTGTTGGCCATGTGTTGTTTCTCAGTGCCTGGTGTATTCTGTAGTGTTGTATGAGGTGTTCTGTATTCTGATCAGCTTCTCGACATGTACACATCGGTGATGGTATGACTTTCATGACTCTATGCAGATGTTGGTTGAGTCTGTTGTGTCCTGTCCTATGTCTGAAGATGTTCGTCTGCTCAGGTCTAGCCAGTTGGTTATAGCTGTCTTGTTGTTGAGGGGTTCTGTGTAGTGATGTGATGATGGTTTTCATCTCTGAGAAGCTAACTTGGTTTTCATATTGCTGTTGTTTGGCTCCCTCCTTTGCTAGCAGATCGGCATTTTTGTTTCCCTTGATTCCGCAATGAGATGGTATCCATTGTAATGCTGTTTGAAGGCTTTCGATGTTGTGTAGATCTTTTTTCAAGTACGGGGAGTTTACCATTGTTAATGGCTTGCAGTACAGATAGGGCATCTGTCAGGAATACTACACTTGTTGTTATGTTGGACTTGTCTCTGATGGAGCGTACTGCATGGGTGATGGTTTCTTCTTCGCCTTTGTAGTTGGAGCAATGAAGGCCTGTTGGGATTGCCTCTGGCTATTTTTCTCCATTAGGGTATTCGATGTAAATACCCTCTCCTCCTTCTGTTGTTGCATTTTTGGCTGATCCGTCTGTATAAACTGATCCAAGATGTTGAGCGATACTGTTCTTCTATCATACTGATTGTGAACGTTTTTTTTTTTTTTTACCAAATCTGATTGTTCGTTTTTAGCAGTGATTTGTGAGACTGGGGTGTGTATGGTGACATTTACAGTTTTCTCTGCACAGGGGCTAGCTGTAAGTGTGATCTCTATTGGTTTAACTAGTTTTGGCAGAACGTCCTGATCACAAGATGAAACACACCCTTTAAGTCCGGCTTAATGGTGGCTTATAGGTCCTTAATGGTGGTTTATTGGTTGTCTTTAAGTCACCATTAAGTCACCATTAAGCACCTTTAAGTAACATTTACACCACCATTAAGTTACCATTAAGCCAACTCAAAGTCCTTAATGGGTGCTTAAATGTAGCTTAATGGTAGCTTAATGGTGGCTTACAGGTCCTTAATGGTAACTTTTAGACCACCATTAAGTCACCATTAAGCTACCATTAAGCTAGACTTACAGGTGCTTAATGTCCAAACTCCATTAAGCTTCCATTAAGCCACCATTAAGCCACCATTAAGTCACATTACACAGTCGATAATATTGTTTATATGGGTGAAAAATTATTTTTATAGTGATTTGTTATCAATATTATAAATGTAGAGTTCGCTTATATCTTGATTTGGTAAAAATAATGAAAAAAAAACGAAATTAAAAATCCAAAAATAAAAAAAAGAAACGCCACAATCGGGGCGCGAACCCATGACCTTAGGGTTGCAAGGCGTATGCCTTATCCATTAGGCTATCGCCGCTCTTGAAAATGAAAGGAAAATATTAAATATTTAACCTTTATTTTTTTCAAAATTTGTTTTGACTTGTAAAGGTATTTACTAGAATTTTGTTGAACATTTCCAAAAGTCTTGAATTGATTTATTAATCAAAATATAAACAATTTTATTTGTGGATCTTAACACATTAATATATATTTCTACACTGAGTTCGGCTTTTAGATTGATGTAATGTGATTGAGTTCTTCGCTCTGTTATTCGAAAATTTTCGAAATGTAAGCATGAAATCATGATTGAAAATAAATTAATTATAGATAAAACACAAAAGTCTATCATCGAAAAAGAAAGAGGAAAAAACAGATTCTACTATTATTTTTAATATACTGCGGATATTAACGGTTTCTGTGTCAACAATTTAGTGACAATCCTCGCGTAAGAGTTACCTGGTTAATTACGTTTACAAAAACTTTTTTAGAATATCATATTCAGTTTCAATTCTTTTTGTATCATAATGGGTATCAAAATAATTGACTTTTTACGATGAATCATAATTTTTAATTTGTTATATGCTTGCGTTAAATTTAATTTTTGTTTTAAATAATTGATCATTAAAATCTGTCAGTGTACGTTGTGTATGTATAGTTTCCTGTTAGTTAACCGGGGACGAGGGGACTCCTAATTAAGGTCTATTGTCTGACCAGTCGGTTTACTGTACACTGATCATCTGTTAATCTTACCCCGTTTCTCAATGTGTATACATCTGGTCGGATGTCATGTTTATATAGTCTGATCGGCCGTTCCTCTGAAAATCGATTTTAGAATAACAATCATTGAATTTAAGACCGACTAGATTTTGACAGATACTTACCGCTGCATTATTAAAAAAAAATAACGAATTAATTAGAATTATTCATGATGTAAAAGCCATTAAAAAGTTTTTCATGGTAAAAGTCAATCTTTGAAAACTAAACATTTGTATACCAATAGCCCCCCCCCCCCCCAAAAAAAAAGGACAGAGATTTTTTTTCATGAGATTATATAGTTATATTCCTGTGAATTCTGTAGCGGAATGTTTCTTTTAACACATGAAATAAAAATACCATTTTGTTTTTAAAAAGTAATGTATATTTTGTGTTCATGAATATTGATAATTCTAAAAACAAATTGATTTTTTGTATTGTAAATTTAAGATATTTCACAAGGACTTGCTCACAGTGTGTAATAATTATTTATCTTTAATAATCATATACACTAAAAATAAAAACAACGCATGTAATAATGATTTATTTAAAAAAAAATATATACGGTTCTGATACAGGATGTCTTGTTTTATTATCACTGTAAATGATTTTAAGAAAAAATTAGACACCTCGAGCAAGCCCCTGTGGCTATTAGCTAACTTTGTTCCCAGTGATCAAGTTTATGCATGTTGACAAAAAACTCGTAGAAATTATGATCGAGACAGAATTATGAGTTGGAATAGATTTTGCGTAAATGATATTAAAATAACTAAAAGTTAGTTCAAAGATTCTATATAAGATGCGTAGATTTAAAGTTTAATGAGGGTTGACCATTAAGTCACCATTAAGCTCAGCTTAATGGTGGCTTAATGGTAGCTTAATGAAGTTTGGACATTAAGCACCTGTAAGTTGCAGCTTAATGGTGGCTTAATGGTGGCTTAAAGGAATTAACTTCTTTAAGCCACCATTAAGTCACCATTAAGCTACATTAAGCGATTGCTTAAAGGTGGTCTTTCGTCTTGTGGATGTTTTCGCTGTAGTTGTTTCATTCTCTGGCTCATTGGATGATCCTGAAGGCATTGATACTTGGTGGCCTGTATCATAGCTTTACATTCTCTTCTCTTATTTAATGGTGGTATGTTGGTAATTTCTTCCATGCTTGCAATTGGTGTTGATTTCATGCCTCCTGTGATGATACGTAATGCCTGGTTCTGGACTTTGTCTAGTGTCTGTAGGTGACTCTTGGATGCTGTTGACCATGCACTAGATCCGTACTCAAGATGTGGTCTTACTTTTCCTTGGTAGACAGTTTTCAATACCGTTTCATTTGCACCCCAGCTTGTTTCTGCCAGTTTTCTCATGATTTTAAGTTTTCTCCTAGCTGACATTATGTTCTGTTTCCATGTCATTCTTTTATCAAAGGTTATCCCAAGGTATGTTTGCTGTTCTTCGATTTTGATTTGAGTATCGTCCATGGTAAGAGTGATGTTTTGAGTTTTAGGCGATAGTGTGAAGAGAGTTCCTGTTGTTTTTTTCTCTGTTGATGGTAACACACCATTCTCTTGTCCATGTCTCTTCTTTGTCTAACGCTTTTTGTATTCTGTACTTTGCTGTGGTTGTGTATTCCTCAGAGCACCATAGTACCAGATCGTCCGCATATAGTCCTATGTTTACTCCGTTTGGCATTTCAGATACAATATCATTCATAAATAATATGAAGAGAGTAGGTGGCAGTACTCCTCCTTGGGGAACTCCTTGCTTAAGAAGAATTTTCTTTCCCAATTTTCCACCTACCATCACTCTGGCTCTTTGGTTCTTCAAATAGGAGTTAGTCCATTTGTACATCCTTCCGTTTACGCCGAATCTTTGGAGTTTTACAAGTAGGCCATCTTTTACTTTGTCAAACGCTCTTTGTAGTGTCCACTCAAGACCGCTAATGTTCATTTCTTTGATTGGAACGAGTCTTCTATTACTTGTGAGAGATGTGTAGTTTGGTCCTCTGTGCTTTTGTATTGTCTATAACCAGCTTGTTCATGCCCAATGATGTTTTCTGATTCCAAATACATATGCATGCGCTTGTTCACTATGCGTTCCATGAATTTGCAACAACTACTTGTGAGGCTAATTGGACGGTAACTTGCGGCTTTTGACTTGTTTTTTTTTTCTTTTTTCAGTATTGGTTTCATGATGGCTTCCCTCCAGCATTGTGGTACTTGGCCTAGACTCCAGCTGAGATTGAATATGTCCAACAATTTATTTAGAGCTGAGTTGCCTAGTTGTTGAAGCATCTCATTGGTGATGCTATCTGGACCGTAGTTTTTCCCTTTTTTAAATTTCTGATAGATGTTATCATCTCATGCATTGTGATGTCTCTCTGCATGATTTCATGTGTTGTTCCTTGACGTTCTTAATACATCACTAAATTTTTTTATCGTAAAATTGAGTGAAAGGTTTTCTTTTGTTTAAGATTATAAGGTTGTGGGCATCAGTCATTAATATTTCATATGCATGTATGTGAAAAATCGTTATTTGGTAAATTGTTCAAATTAACAAGGTTTTAGACATAAAGAAGAAATAATTTGTGTTCTTTGATTAAATACAAAATCTGCATAAGCGTTGAATCGGTCACCAATATAAATTCAAATGTACATGTAAATCGATATGACACGCCAAATTTACAGAAATGAGCAGGTTTTACGTACATTTGATAAATTAAACTAGGTTTATCGACTGTGAACTACGTTTACGGACGATAATTATATACTACTTATAACGATTTTAGCCTATATTTCACATCTGTAAACTATAATTAAAGCGATGATCTCTGTTAAATAAGCGTATATAGTACAATTACTATGGACAACAAGCATCTGTAACTGCAAAATATCGTTAATCTGATAAAAATAGAATGGAGATTTGTTAACTACGAGAAATGATCAAAACGTTCGCGAATATCTCTATATCTAGAAAATAGAATTCAGACCAGAATGAAATTTGGCACACATCTATTTATACATATGTTCTATAAAATGCTATATAGCATTTTGCTCTATGCTTATAAAAACTTAATATTACTTTTTTTATATAAAAATCTTCATAAGCGTTGATTCGTGCACTGGTATGAACTCAAAAATTGTAAGAGATTAGGATATGGAACGCCAAATTTACAGGATTGAGCTAATCATAATTTTAAGTTGATAATTTAAACAAGGTTTATATCGACTGTAAACTATGTTAATGGACAGAAAACTACAACTGATTAACGATTATTATC